TTTGTTTTGGGTTTGATTTTTTTCTTTGGCATCATTGGTTTTTGTTTGAGAAAGGCTGAGGTATGTATACAAAACTTCTTCTGGGTGCTTGCAAAAGAGACATATATCTCACACAGGACCACTGGTTTGTAGACAGGCACTAAATATTAGACTGCAGAAAGCATTTTTTAAGTTTTCAGAGAATACTAGCTGTACTGCCACCCATTGAATGCTATAAAATAACGTGACACCTATTAAACACCTTTTTTTTTAAAAAAAAAAAAAAAAAAAGTAGCACAGTAACATACCTGACATAGTAAGATATGTTACTTTGACCCCAGGCAGAAATGTCTTACTTTCCCATAAGCTATGTTGGAGGTTTGAGAGAGAGATACTTCTTCATCAGTTGAAACACTCTTCCTAGAGCGTTACAGTTTTGTACAGATGGGAGTGAGGTGAAGGACTGGTGGAAGGAGAGGTGTCTTCAAGACTTTCTGTTCTCAAGCCTTCTGTCTAAGTAAAGCAGCATTCCTAGGCTGAAAGAGAAGCATAATTTTGGTTACATGGCAGTGGTTGAAGCAGGACTTTACAGGAGTAGCAGGTTCTGTTGCAGTTCCAGACATTTTGCCAGGCAGAGGTGTATTATAGAGCCTCTGCAAGGAAAAGCCCAGTCACATACACTCACCCAGCCTGGGACTTTTCCTGGTGCTTTTGTGGGACGTAAAACTTGCAAGAGCCTGGGGTGGACTGCCAACTTCCCAAAGTGGTTTTGATCTTCATCGAGTCTTTCCAAAGGAAACTTCAGGAAGGAACAAATGCCTCCGTGTTCACCCCAAAGCTCCATACCCTGGAAGCAGGTATGTGAGCAGCTTTGCTGCTGCAAGGCACAGCCTGATCTTGCAATAAACTCCTCTGACAATGAAGTGGCAGATGGCTGAACTGCTGTGCCTGAAAAGCTACTCTCTGTGCCCCTTAGCGTTGAAATGCCTGACAGCTCTGAGGAAGGTGAAGTTTCTGAGATGTTGCGCTGGACAACCTACATGCACAATGCCAAAATATTTCAGCAGCTTTTTGCTTTGGGCAAAAGGAGAGTACTTACTCCTTCATCAGAACACCAACATTTCTCGCAGGTCAGTGCAAACATTAGGCTGGCTATCCCACGGGCTGACAGTTCAGCTAGCTGCGGTGAGTGAAGGCTGAGTAATAAAACATACTGTTGATGGCAACTTAAGTCCATTTAAGGGAAACTCAGTAACAATACTGTCATAACTCCTAGAAAATAAAGGACATGTGCATCTTTTTCCTCTCACCAGCACAGAACAAACCTATGTCCCCATCAGATTAGGAGGATCTTCTGAGCCTGTCCGCTTCACATCAGAGAACCAGAGGGGAACAAGGAGCTGGATGAGAAGCCCCTGCAGGTTTTACAGCTATGCAGGCATTTCACAGGTTGAAGCTAAGACGCATTTACTAAGATTTCAGCATGTTGTTTTCTTTTTAAATACACTGAAATTCCTGTTATGTTCCATAATAAGGTGCAGTTCAGTAAGTCTCCACAACTGAGAATAAATCTAAAGCTTCCTATTTCCTTAACAATGAAAGGCTTTGTCAGCATGTGTTTTCTTGCTTTCCTTTATGCGAAACCCTCCATCCACAGCAGTCTTCCTGTTTAGTCCTAGCTTGACTTTATCTCTTCCAGTATTGCCTAATCAAGGTGCAAGCCACACTGGAACATTGAAAAGAATTTCTGTCCCACTTAATCCTTTGTGACTCCAATCTCCAACACTTTGCCTAGTTGTAGGAAAGTGTTTCCTTTTCTTCACAATACTGGACTATTTCAATGACAGAGCTTGTAAAAATCAATAGAATAAAAAAAAAAGAAATCAGATCTGAATGATCATGTTTTTAACTACAATGCAAACAAAAATACTTAGAAAATAAAGAGTACTTGCAGTACTTAGAAAATGAAGTCCTAGGATACTTAATGTCCAAAACAGACAAGAAAATTCCTGTACTCAAAGATTAACCTATAATTGCGCATTGTCCTTCTGCAACTGCACTACCCATAAGCATCCAGTTGTCTCAACTATATCCATACATATCCAATTAATCCTTACATTTCACATACTCACCTCTCACTCTTTATGCACATACTCAACTGCAAAAGATCCAAAAATTAATGACAAATGCATGGGTCTGCACTGAAATTATATGCACAAATGTGTATAACACTTCATACACTTATTGCGGCTGTACGTGTAATGCTGAAAAATTTGTGCATGTATGCAAAAGATGATGCAAGACATCCCTTCAGGTTTATTTGGCAACCACAGCAGTTGCATTGAATGAGAAGAGGGTTACAAATTATTTTAGTTAGTATGGCTGTCCCATCCTTGGAAATTCCCAGTTCTTGAGAATTTGTGAAATTGGGAGTTTGGAAAAAGGGATGACATACAGCATGTTCTTGCACATGAGGATGGCAGGGAGAGGAGAAAAGACAGGTTGAATTGAGAGAGGAAAAACGGCTGTTAATTATTCAATTTGCAAGGAAAATAAGCCAAAATTGTTCTTTGATAGTTTTCCTGTGAGGAAGTGCTATTTTGATTATTTTTCAGAAGTTACACTACTTCAATTTACTGAATCATTTTTCTCATGAGGGTTTAATTTTAAAATAGTTGACATTCTAACAGGCTAAATACAACTCAGAGCACTGACATAAGTCAAAATAGCTTGTTTTTACTAAAATTTATTTAAAAGAGACAAAGGGGGCACGGTACCTGATAACAGACTGAAAGATCTACCTCCAACATCCTCCAGTTTACATTAGTCTTATGATTTTAGTTAGTTAAACCTGATGACATCTCTTAGGGTCAACAAATCCAACAATCCTTGCCAGTCCCTAAAAAGCAACTACTTGGATGGTCAAGACGAGAGCAGTGTGACAGAGACTCAACTGCAGAAATCAAGAACGCGCCCTTCCTCCCCTCTTCAATTTACATACCGAATGAAAGAGGTGTGGCAACGGGACTCTGGGAGCTCTTGATATAAAAGAGAAGAGACTCTAGGTCTCGTCCAGCAGAGAGAAAGTACCTTTCCTTACTACTTAGTTCCTTCCATTTTCAAATGAATTTTCCTTTCTATCACCCAGAACAATGACTAATTCTTTCATAAAACAAAGGTTTGGAGGGGAGACTAAACATGCAAGTTATTGTTTCTATAAAGGTCAACATACCAGCTATTTTAGCTACAAGTAACCGAGTTATTCCACAGACAAGATAAAACAGCAATTTTCAAAGTGCAGTCAGCAGATTCCTGGGAGCAATTCACTACACTACGCTACACACAGCACTTAAAACTTCTGAATGAAGAACAGCTGCACACCACGTACCTGTTCCTCTCTGCAGCTTTTAAATCATGTTTTTAAAAACTCACTTTTTTTCCCCCCTAGTTATTACCATGAAAGCAACTGTTGCGGTAACAGTACAAATGATACATAATAAAGAAAAGGTCCATGCAAGGCCTTCAACCATTGAAGATTCCTCTGAGAGAGACAAATATTACATCTTACAGCTGGAATACTGCCCAAGGCAGAAAGTAGAGCAGTTACAGAAAGGATTAAGTTTAAACAGTAGAGTTGCTAAGGAATACTCCTACATCATGAAATAAGACAAAACATGAAGAGTAAGAGTTAGATTTAATGATTAATTATTACTGAACCCAGCTCCTACACTTCTTTTCTTTCTCATACTTATGGAAAACATCAGGTTTAGGTAAATGGTAGTATATTTAAACAAAAATATATGCATCGCACAAGGATAAAAGCAACACTGAAATTACAAAGATTTTAATTACATGTAAGAAATTAAAATGATGCATGAGTGGAAAAGTGTAAATGGGAGTATTTTAGTAGTCAAAATAAATATTTAATAAAAACCACACACCCGTGACAAAGTATCAAAATAACAGAACTTAGTATTTGGAAGGATACCATCTACATTTCCTTGTGTTAAACATTGCTAAATTCAGTGTCTTAATTATTATCACACTGCTGTCAGCAATCATTGCTTATATTAGTGTTGTAAAAAGTCACAAGAACAGAAATACTGTTCCAATGACAGAAACAGTAAAGCCAGTTTGCTATAAACAAGGAAGAACCTACTACACCAAGGAGTCAATCCACAGGCATTGATACCAAGTCAACATGGACTACTGCATAGCATACTGGTTACTGTACCAAAAGTGCATTTATCAGCATTCAATGAAGTGAGAAAACCACCCTTTTAAATATAATTTTTAAAACCAACCAGATGATTAACAGTTGAAGAAAAAACACAAGTTTGCTTTAAAAGTAAAAGCATAGTCTAAAGATCTTAAGATTTCTATCAGGTAAAACCATACAGACCATTGTAAGTAAAAAAAAATTAAAAGGTTATTCTATCATTCCATATTTAGAACACAACTGAAAAATTTAGTGTGTTTTTGCATCCTCCTATACTATAACCAGTGGCATTTTGATGACTTTTTGTTAAGTTCTGGAAAAAAATAATGCAAAGAAAAACTTTTTGATGTATGGCAGCCGTCTAGAAAGACTTAAACTGATGATGTATAAACTGAAATGTAGATAATGTTACTAGAGAGATTTATATGGGGGAAAGCAGCAGAGTCTGGCTTATCCCATTATTTCTCCATTCAGTTCGTACACAGATTCTTTGAAAGCAGTGTTACTGAATATCCCTGACTACCAATGATTTTTTATAAGTGCGATTTCCTCACTATTGGAATTCCGCATTTAAGACCACTCTCAATCCTTCACCCTTCAACTCCCACCCACCCCCCACATCATATTTAACAGTTGCAGTTTTCTCACATAAAGCATTGTAATGCCTTTTGCTGCTTGTTAAATGATATGCAATCAACATTATTTCTATATTCAAAGCACAGAGACCACTTTCCAGTTGGATCACATATTAAACAACAATTAAAAATTATATTCTCTCCTTATTCTATTGGGATGATAAAGACTATTCACCATTTAATATACGTTCAATCTCTTCTAGTCTTTTCAAAGCAGCAACTCTCTTTTTCTCAATGTCTTTGATTTCTTTTGTAGATTTTTTGGGAGTCTCTTTGTCCATATTGTTTTTCTCTGTTCGTTTCTTATTTTTTGAGTGCCCTTTATTGTTATCAACTGTCGATTGGGTGGTCTCCTGCTCATTTTTCACATCTTTCAGATTTTGAAATGATTTTTTTTTTTCTTCTGCAACTGTAGTTGCAGTCCCATCTGCTGGAAGTGATGACTGTTCCGCAGCACTGAGTGATGCAATTTTACTTCTAACTATGTTTAGATGACGCTGAATATACTCTTCATGAGGTGCCAGTGCTAGTGTTTCAACCAAACATTTTTCTGCTTTTATTAAATCTCGTTCTTCAAAGTAAACCACACAGAGATTATGTTTTCCTTGTACATTGTTGGGATCCAGTTCCAAAATTTTTTCAAAACACTTTTTTGCTCCAACGATATCCTTCTTTTGGTTCATAAGGATATCTCCTTTCAAAATCAGACCTTTGGTATGATCAGGGTAGTGTCTCAGTAGGTCTTCCAGGATGGGCAAAGCCATCAACTCTTTTGCTGTCTGAGAATAAAGCAGTGCCAAATTGAACAAAGCACTTCGGAAGTTTGGCTGTAACCTTATGGCTTTCTTCATCCATGCCTCTGCTTCTATATCTTTTTTGTCATCCATTGCCAGCATACCCAAATTGAAGTACCCATTTGCATCCTGTGGTTCTTCTTTCACATAATGTAACAGCCTTTGTTTAGCTTCAGGTCTAAGCCGAGCATCACCTAAATGACAGAAAATGCATTTAATACTAGATATACTCTGAAGAATTTTTAGACCAGGCCTGTAAAAATTTTTAGATAAATTAAAACGTAACATCTTTAACACAACTGTAAAAGGGAAAGGGTTTTACATGATACTTTTTATCATTGCTTTGTAACAGCAAAAGTAAATGACATCTACCTTCTTTACAGAATGACACTACTTACAGTTGACTTGTAGCTAAAGTCAGCATCGTTACTCTGTTATCTGTTGAATAATGTTTCAGTTTGGTATAACAGATATAAAAGGTGTCTCTACCAGTTTAAGAGAAGCAATTTTCATGTACGGTTGAGCAAACAGAACGCAGAAATGTCAGTTCTGACAAACGAGCTCTTACAGAGGCAAACTTGGAGTGAAGATCTCATTTTGTTAAAAAAATATTGAAAGAGTTTAAAGACAGAGATCACAGAGGGTGACTTCAAAGGTAGCCAGGCTAAAATATCTTCTAACACCAAAACAATAAAATCTATAACTCACATATTTTAATTTGCATCCAAGTTTGTAAAAGATACGGTAAAATAATCTTATCTGATAATACCAAGATTAGTTAGATTAGCTTGTAGTCTGTGATATTTTTATGAATACTCCAGCGAACATATTTTAGTAAGGCACTCCAGGCACAGACTTATTGAAGGACGGGGGAGCAGGGAGCCGATTTTAACCACCTTCTTTCACCTCCTCAAACAGTGCTGCACCTTCCAGTATAAATAACTGAATACTAGATAGCTAATGCTTCTGCTTGTTCGAAGTCCCTTGTGCTTCTACAGACAAGAAACAAGGCATTTGTTGTACTACCTAAGTGTGAGAAGTGATGAAGAATAATCTATTTGCATCAGCACCATATTCTCTCTTTCTTAGGGGTAGTTTACCATCCCAACAAAAGGGAAACAAGCCTTACTAGTCACTTGCCAAATACTCTTTGCAACAGCCTGAATTCACAAAAGGCTTATACTTACCCATACAACTAGAAGCTACACCTATGAAAAAAATTAACTCATAAAAATCTGATCTAATTCATCCTTATTAGCAGTATTACAGAGGAACCTATGAAAACATTCACATTTCCTAGGGCTAGATTTAAAGCCCATGGAAGTCAGCTATATTTTTTAGCCAATGAACAACGAAATCAATCAATATAAAGGCAAAATATAGATACTACACATATTTTAACAAATATGACTTTAAGATTATATAGGCACAATTTTGAAGACATTTGTGTAACATTGTGTTCTTTATATGCATTTGATGTTGTATTCTAAAATAACACTTGTATTAAAGCTGATCAGCTAAGGTATATGTACACTGTGCACAAATTCCATACACCACCAATAAATAACAAAGCTGACTACTACAAGTAAACAGTTTCTTCTTTGACAATGCTACGAACTTCTGCTTTCCAAAAATATAACAGTTCATTAAAAAGAATAGCATAGATCCTATAAATGCAAATACACTATATATATATATAAGGGACAACTAACATACCAGATTCCTGCATCAGCAGCGCTGAGTTGAATAATGCCAGTTTATGTGTTGGGTTGAGTTCTAGTGCTTGGTTGAAATTCTTCAGGGCTTCTGTTGGATCTTTCAGTTCAATGTAAACAATTGCCAAGTTGTACCACAGGTCTGCATTGGTTCTGTCTAGTTCTAGAGCTCTAAGATAAGCTTCTTTAGCTTTCAGAGGTTTGTTCATTTTTAAAAGTAATTCTCCCCTGTTGAAGAATCAGAGTCAACCTTTCACTTTTGTTCATATTAACATGAAAATAATTGACAGGTTTTTTAAAAGTTTGCCCTCCTATAGACTACAGATGTGAGATAACAGTGTTTTTTGTTCGTTTTAAACACAAAACAATACAGGACCTTCCTTACATATCGCTTCCAAAGCCTTCAGCTCTCAAAAGTCTGTATACAACAAATGCATATGCAGGACAAAAACCAAAAAAGTAGTGATCAAGGGTTCCTGATACTGTCTCTGCAATCACACTGCAACAGCTATAGTTTAGGCATCTTTGCAAACCCCGAAGTCCCAATGGGAATCACAATTAACAAAATAGTGAACAGAAGCCTCAATACCCACAGCCACATTACTCTTATCTATTTAGCTGACACTTACGTACTTTTTAGTTAAGTCTTGCATTTCTGGACCACCTTTAACAAAGAAGGACAAAGCAAGCTCCATGATTCAGACTAACCAAAAGCTTTTTAGTTGAAAACTAAACTAGGAGATCAGAAATTTGATTTTGAGATTCATAAAGAAATCTAATGGAAGCATCTTGCTATACAATGTTTGAATACACAACCCATGTGGAAACACAACAATTGAAGCAGTAATTTAAAAGAACAGGGTTTGCAATGAATAATTGATTGCTGCCCCAAATCTTCATCTTCTCATTTGGAAATGAATCAATTCCACCAGCTAATTCAACTGCATGAACTAAATACTGTTCACAAAACTGCAAATACATAAATGTTTATCCAAGAATGCGTGTCTCTAGAATTAGAAAAAAATACCTGCTGATATAAGCCTGCTTGAAATCTGGCCTCATACTAATTGCTTGTCGATATAATTGATCTGCTTCTTCAAGACGAGATTCATTCGCTCGAATTAAGTTTGCAAGATTGATATAAACATTCAGATGGTTAGGAGCAACTCTTGCTGCATACTTCTTACCTGGAATAATCTGAGAAAAGGGATGTATGTACCAAATACAGATGAGTAAAAACATGAAAGACATTCAGTACAGATCTCCTCTTTGCTCTGACATGTTTATTTTAGGGTATAACTGGACATCAGTGTGCAGGCTCTTAATGATTACAAACAGCAATTCTTCTTTTCCAGAAAATCATACCAAAATATAAACAGAATATTTTTTCTTCTTTAACTCTACAAAGACATAGATTACTTTTATATCATATTTAATACATCAGTTAATTAAGCTCTACTACTACCTCATTGGGGTCACACAGATAGATGTTAGAAACCAACCAGATCTTGCAAAACTTGGTCCATTCAGAAAAAGAGTATGTCCTAAAGCCTAAACTGGCATTCTACCAGACATTTTCACTCCTTTTATAACCCTTCAGCCTAAGATAAGTATAAATAAGATTTTTCAAGCCACTGTTATAGCAGATCAGAAGCATTCATGAAAGATGAAAATGCTATGACATTGCAACTGTTGTAGTGTTTATATTTTATCAGTCTAGAATCTTCATACTGTTGCACAATACAAACTTTTTAATGCCATACTTCTAGTCAAGGGACTGCGGTATTTTGTTGTCAGTCTCATTCTACCCACAGCATTTGTTACCTTCATATGTTCTCCAAAACATTCGTCTCTTTTTCTCCTAAAGAGTTAGAATAAGCAATATTTGCTAGGTATAAATATAACTTGACAAATGATAAAGGTAACAAAGCACATGCTTTTAAAAGTATGTTAATGCAATGATTTTTATTGTTGCTGCTGAGGCTACCTTTGGCCACCTCCAATGCTGCATTTAAGCCCCCACTTGAGGGCTCAGACACTCAGTCATCATCAATGTATTCACTGTAAGTGAAAATAAACCCGCTGTGACTAGAAACTGTAGGTTTATGTTTTTAACTGCTGCTTTCTTCCATATCCCCAATTTCAGAAAAAAAAAAACCCACAGCAGTATAAAAAGTAACTTAAAATAGCTTTAACAAAGAAGTTCCAAGTTAGCATTTTTTTAACAGCTGTGATTGCATGCAACCTAGTCTTTTAATGGAAAGGTTTTTTAAAAACTCTAACGATTTTGAAGTGTACAGCAACACAGAGCTCCAGGAAAAATACAAAAACTGTATCATGAATATAGGTCTGAAAGAGTTCCCTCCTGTGGTGGTAGATAAAGTAAAGTTACTAATTACCTGTGGCATCAATGATTTAGCAATCATATATGATTCTTCGGCCTCTTTAGTTTTGTTTAAGTTTTTGTAAGTTCTTCCTACGTTCATGTGGGCACCAATATCATCTTAATAAAGAAAAGAATGAAATTTCAAATACTTTTATGCACTGAGTATCATGAAAATAAATATCTATGCCTTCAGAGTCATGTGAAGTACAGGTACTGCATAAAGACGACCATCACCACCACTAAAACACAATTCCATATTATTTTTCATCTTAATTATGAAATTAATAATTTAACCATGAGCCAAAGAGGGATTATAAAGTTACTTGGGAAAAGGTACAAAATTTGAGGTCATACTTCCACATACCTATCTTTAATCTCTTGCTATAGTAGAGGCACGTAAATTGAAGGTTATTTATTAGGCTTAAAAGGAAAAATGAAACTATGTCCAGTACTACTTAGAACTACTTTTGCAACAATATGTAAAATAGAGTAAATGTCCACTTTGATACTATCTAGATTTTTAAATTTTTTATACATCTCCTTAGTTTTAAATAAGAAAATTAAATAATAATTATGTCTCGTAAGAAATCACAGTTTAAGTTAACTCTGAAATAATGCCATCCAAAGAATAGTTTTAAATGTCTATTTAAATAGTCTTCGCATCCTTTTATAGACAGAAACTTTTCTGAAGGATTTTTTAAAAGTTCATTTCCAAAAACTATGGATCAACTAACTTAGTATATGACATTGTTTCGTGTTCAGTTGGAGAAAAACAGATCACTGAGAAAATTTTGTTAAGAAAGCTAAGCATACTGAAACACTAGGAGTGCAGAGATGTCACTCAATGGCAGCTAGTCAAAGCTTTTACCTGGTTGCACTTGTGTGGCTTGTATAAAGAACTGCAGAGCTCTTTCAAAATTCTTTTCATTTTCTAAGGCATGGCCCACATTGTTCCATAGTTTTGCATTGTTCTTATTTACCTAGAAACAGAAAAAAGATATCAATGCATAAGCTGAAATTACACAATAACTGTTTTTAACTATGTCTTAAAGATGTAAAAATGCAAAGCAAATGACAGACTTCATCAAGCTTCTACATGTAAAGAATAACAAAACACTGCATACAGAATTATTACATTAACTAGTTGCTCAACACCCATTTATTTTGGTTATTTGCCCCTAGAAACACCAAATGTTTTAAACTTCATTATAATTGTTACGGGATGCTATACAATCTTATCGTGCCATATGCACATTGAAGAAATTATTCTATGCACCAAACTTTTTGTAATTGTTGTACTGAAACAGAGTGTGCTTTCATCCAGATAAGAGAATACATTCAACTGCTTTAACACAAGAAAAAATCATCACCTATTTCTTGCACATGAATGTGCATGTGTGCATCACACTGATTTTAAAGCATTCCCAAAAGTAACTAATTAGATGTTAATACTGTCAATGTAGAAATAAAAGTGGCAAAACAAGTATAATTTCTCTCAATTTTTATAATGTTGTACTGCAGCTTTTTAAGAAGAACAGCAACACAAACTTTCCATCATCCTTTTCTAACAGAATACAGTACCTTTAAAGCTGACATAAACAATGTGTACTCTGACTCCCAATCCCAGTTTCTGTGCAGTGTTTTTAAGGCATGAGTGAATAGTACCGCAGCCAAACAAACCCAAGAAATTTTTCTTAGCACACTATTAAATAAAACAAAAAAAGATTTGTTACAAGCACACAAGCAGTTCTAATTTCTATTAAAATATCTCATATGCTAGGAGGCAAATAAACTGAGGACCATATTTGTGAACGGTACATTCCAATTTATTTGCCTCATCGCCAAATGGCATGCTCCAAAATTTGAAAGGAGATAATGTTCATTTTCAAGTTAATTTTGTTACTTATATGATTTTTTGTTATGACTATGTAATTCACTTAAGAACAAATGCAATACACATAATATATTAAAACATATGAAAATATATTTATTTAATATACCTATGTGTAATTTAAGACAATGAACACGACCATGATGTCAAACAGTGAGGTTCTTCAAAACACTGTACAAAATGTTAAAAAATGTAAAAAGCAACTAAAATGTCATCTCATCCTTTTGTTTCATATCAGACAATTCCACCCAAATTCCTTACTGCACACATCACCACACTGTGGAACACATCTTAAGAGAGATGTCTTCTGTGGAGACTACCTAATCTTCCATAAGCAAATAACATCTAGTGCTACTGTAACATCTAAATAGGAGAAAGGTTAAGTGTCTTTGTAGCAATTTTATTTTTAAAGCTGCAAATTGGGGCAGAAGTCACTCTCTGCAACAAGCTTGTCAGGAACCATCTTCTAGATTTCTTGTAGTTTATTTTTCTGGAGTTTAGACATGATTGACTAAATAAAACAGATATAAAACATATGCTTTAACATGCTGATTATTTGGTCTCTGAATTCTAATTTAATTATGGAAACAGTGTTCCTACAACTATGAATATAATTTTGTTTTAAAAAATCTCATTCTTGAGCAGACATACAGCTGTTCACCATTGCCAGCTATTTCTTATGCTTGACTTATGCACCAGCTGTTCACATCACTATGTACTTCACAGGGGTTTGCTAAAAACCGAAAAGGTTTTTTTCTCTCCATTTTTAAGATATACAAAATGTTGTGTGGTCTTAACACTGTTGTCCTTGATTTTAAAAATATTAAAAAAATAAGTAGCAGAACAGCAGAATTAAGAGAGAAACTCTAACACATTAGCAAAGCGACCAGTGAAAACTGGGATATACAGTAGTCTATATCCCCACCAGCCTTATAAGAAAGTTTTTTCTTTTCACATATTTCTAAAGCAAGGACCCTTCTTTATCTCATAAGACTTTATAGAGTGCTGATTCCCAATACTTTCATAGTAAACGATGCTGCTGCCTAATTTTTCTCCCCAGCCATCCTCTCCTGGCTCCTTGCTTTCTTTCACATCACTTCTATTTTTACTGCCTTGTAGTGGGATTTGTGATAATACTTTCTCCTCACTCCCACAAGGTATTACTAATTTCTCGTTATCCAGTGCTGTCAGCTTTGGCAGCATCAGTTAGTGTAAGTTATACTGCAAGGCCTCACCTCTAAAGATAGCAGACAACACAGACTGGGAATTGCTGCCTATCTGTTTGCCTGAGCTAGCATTGGGATGCCATTGGGGTAAGAAGGGTAAAGCATCCAGGTCAGAGGGACGTATGTGCAGATCAACGTAGAAGATAGCAGAAAAAACAAAGGTGCATGAAAAACATGCTTTTAGATCAAAATTTCCTCAGGAGAAATTTTTATCAAAAAAATTCTTTAGTTTAACAAATATGGAATGGCTCTGATGTCCATTTCTAGCACAGCATGACTGAAAATTTTTAAAAGATAATTTTGATAATACTAATAAAAAAATTTCAAAATATGTTTTAATATGCTATAAACTGATATACATACATTCCATAAACTCCAGTCAGTAAGCACCTTTGAATAAAGTACAAATCAAATCTGGTCAAGAAATATTTTTGCCTAATCCTTAAAAATGTCTAGGATTATAACAGAAAATATTCGTGTTTCTTTACAGAAGAGAGATGGATTATACTACTAAGCTCATATTTGTAGGAATGTGTCATGTAAGTTACACTACATTCTAAAAATTTCTGGTACAGTCTAAGGCTTTTCATATATATACATATGCTTATATACATATATAAAATAAA